CCCTTGTCAAATGTGTCAGATGGTGTACATGTACATGTACATGTCAGAGGTAAAAGGGACGGAAAAATGTCACACTTTGGACCCCAAATTTATAGAACAACCCATTTCTAATTGGCCTCAATTGCTCCAACATTTCCAGGGTTCACTGATGTATTCAATATCCCTTAAATTGATAGTACCAATATCAAAGTTTAATCATATCAAAATCTTGGTACTCAAAATACCAAAACCAAGACATGTTACAATCCAGTTTTGATTTGTGCACCTGTTACTTCAATTCTGCTTTGAAATTATAAGCTCAAGGTCACAAACTGTGCCTCTGACTGGGAATAAAAAAAATTGTAAAATTGTAAAGACCAACGTCTCATTTGTGATCTGCATGGCTGCCATTAAATACAAGAAATTGTACACATGAACATGTACAAGGTACCGGTAAATTACACTTCATGGTATTGGCATTAGATAATGTTCAACTTTGGAGGTTCATTTTCCCTGAAGTGAACAGCAGTGAATTAATTCCCAATGTCTGATGAAATGAGGGAAGTTATGGCTGATATCTGGAACAATGATGACCGTGTCCAACTTTCAACTTATTAATTAAAGTCTTGAACGTCAGCATTTTTGATGGACGCTGACAAATTGTTGAAATTCTAGCTAATAAAATTTACAGAGGAGTGATAATCCCTGAGGTTATTTTGAACAGATTTATATGTGGTGAAAGGTGATAATATTTACACATTTTAAAACCATAATCACGAAATTAAAAAATATCTCTCAAAATTAATCGGGTCCTGAAGTCGGCAGTCGCAAATGTCATTTGATACATGTATGTAAAAAAAAATCGACTGCAATAGCAGCGAGTAAAATCAAAATCGATGTACAACACACGCTTTAAGAAAGTACAAAAAAACACCCCCAAACCATCATCCTTTTACGACTGGACTGATCACATTTTCTTCAAGTACGTTTCTGAAAACTGCAGTCAGAAATACCGATCATGGTGATTTTGCAGCTTTCGTCATTATCTTGCTGTGACGTTAGAGATGCGTTTCACTACATCATGGGCTGTTTAACCTTTGACATCAACCAAGATACATGCACATGTACATGTACATGTACATGTAGGGCACCCTCTTTTAATTCGATATTCATGAGTCCCTACACAGAATTGCAACACTCCGGTATTTTTCTCTTTGTACAAAGGTTTTTTGAGAGAAAATCTGTCGTACTGAATGATGTTCGAAATAACATGACATCCGAGATGTACATGTAAAATACGATTTGTGATGAAAATCTAATGCACAGAGTTGATTTTAATTTAATTTTCAGCGGGGATATCTCCAAAATAAGCAGCAAAATGAACATCACGCATGGAATTTTCAAGCACTACATGTGCCAGCGTTTTTGGCATTCTTGAACGCCACACATTTTTTGTCCAAATTCTGCAGCGTTATCAAAATTCTGTCAAATGTGACGTTTGCAATGCAATTTTTGATGCAGCCAAACTTAAAGATTATTTTTGGTGGTTGACAGGTACGGTATAAGACCTTGCCGATATGCTGGTATAGTGAGAGTGATTGTAAACGGTAAGAGAATGAAGAGAGCCAAACCTTTTTCATCATTTTCCATCAATTTTATGCTCTTTTTTTGTGGCTTATATTCTTTTTAAATACATCTTTTGAAAAATATACAAAGTCCTGATTTCTCCTTGTTGTTAAGCGAGGTTTTGAAATCAAGTCCTCTGTGCAAATACTTTGACGTAAAACTTTAAATGAATTTAACTCCATTGATTTGCACTGGTAGCCAACCAAACGTCCCACAAATGTATGCCTAATTATCCCCGAATAATCATTTTATAAATCTGAAGGTGCTAATTTGTTTTTACATGATCAAAGTCACTCTTTTAGAAGTTTTGAAAAATGACATGCAGAGTTGCATTTTGGTCCATTTTATGAAGAAAATTCCTATTCCTTTAATATGACCAAGCAGTAAAGTGTTCTGAAAGTCAGATCACATTTTTAGGCATCAATCACAA